TTATGTATGTATTTTATTTAATTTTAATTATTTATTTATTTGTATTTATTCAAAGAGCAAGTTTGTCAGGAATTGGGTTATCGATCGATCCTTGTATTCCACGAATTCTTGCTCACACAAACTAATTTTAAATATTTCATTTATTTTCTTTCCTAAATGCATACTACAGAACTTTCTCGTTCCCATTTTTACATGCGCTGTCACTTACGCTTCTTTTCTGTTATTATAAGTAAAAATTGCCATTATTACTACTTTAAAGCTATATCTATTATTGATTATAATGATATTTAAGGATCAAATTAATAAGCATAAATCACGATTTTTTTAATTCTTAACTACAAATGTTTCACTTGCGTATTTTGACTGCATAGAAGTACACGTTATCTTTTTTCTGACGAGGCATTTTTTTTGCAAAAGCAATTTTCCACATTTTCGTATTTTTGCTTTTTTAGCAAACCTTCAATCATCATAAATTCGCTTTCTGGAGCTATGTAACTGACATCCATCATTGTTTTACACGTTGATTTCCTGTTAATGCAGTCTTTTATAAACTTTTGATTACTCGTTCTATTTTCAATGAGCTGTGAGAGTGTAGCTTATGAATTGTTCACTTTTAGCTTGAAAAATCGATTTGTGCATTAATTGGTAATTTGCATTTTAAATGGGTAAGTATAAGGGATATATATATATATACATTTGCAAGATTATTGGTTAAGAAGTAAAATTTGTACAGCATAACATTTCTTTCCAGAGTTTTACTTCCTGATATGTAGAGATAAATAGATAGATAGATAGATAGATAGATAGATAGATGGATAGATAGATGGATAGATAGATAGATGGATAGACAGATACCAGATATAAATAAAATAGGTGTGAATGAATGAATGAATGAGATGTTGATCCTGTTTCCCTCAATTCCATCTCTACTTCTTCGCTATTTGCTTCTAAACAACTTAGTAGTTATTATATCCAATAATAGCCGATAATTCATTAATTCGAATTATGCATGCAATATCCATGCAGAATTCACCATCACATCTAGCTACTGCTCTTCTACATTTTGAGTACATCTTAATGATTGAAATCTGATTGCTATCATCTTTTTTGAGCTAGCTTTAAAGGTATTATTACTAGTCTTCGTTTTATTTCTGATCAAATATGATAATTTTTAAATACATAACTTTGAATATTCATACTACAGATGATATGCAGATTATTTTACATTTTAACGTATGTTTAAAACTCTAAAAGGAATATTAAATAATTACAGAGTATCAAGATTTTTAGGATGTTTAATCTTAACCCATTTAATGTTACCCATTCAACATTTTGGATATCTTTGGCATATAGCCTTTTCTTGTATCTATTCTTTGCAATTTTCGTTTATCTCATCTACCGATGCCTTATATCACGCTACTTTTATCACATACGATCAACATCATCACGAGATTTACGGTGAGCTTTTATTTAAAATTTTTGAAATTTTTCAAATTTTTTTTTATTGTAAAAAATAACTACTGATTGTTTTTAGTATTTGTTCATTAAACTTACTAGTCTAGTTCGATATTATGTATATTATATTATTATGTATTTTTATGAGCTGTTTATTATTGGAATATTGTGATCGCGAAAATTTTTGCATTTTTGAATATCATTATTAATCATCACATGTTGAAAAATGTTCTTTTTTTAGCAAAAATAATTTACTGAAATCAAATTGATACAATTTTTGATTTTTGCTGTTAATTTCAATTTAGAATTGCAATCATTAACACTTTTAGTGGTTTGTTGTTACTGATACAGTTAAAGTGGGATATATGGAGGCAAATGAAGGCGAACGAACCCTTGCATGAAATATTTTTACGGAATTTGAAAATGTATCGTGATAAAGAAGCATTAATTGAGGTCGATACAGGTCGGAGGTTTACATTCTGTGAAATGAACCGTTTGTGCAACAAGTATGCAAATTTCTTTCAGGTTTGTTACCTGAAGAAAAAGCTTTGAGGTAGTATTCTATTGCAAACATTTTTTATGAGTTATAAGCAATGAAGTGTGAAAGTACTTTGATATTTTGGAATATATTTTAGAAGAATATGATTTGCTTGAGTTAGCAATTTTTGTAAAATAGCAGTCATAAAATTGAATGAAAGCGTGTTTTAGTCAGAGGGATATAAAAATGGCAGTGTAATCGCTTTGTATTTGGAAAATTGCGCTGAATTTCCTATTATTTGGCTTGGTTTAAGCAAACTTGGCGTTGTTACATCGTGGGTGAATACAAATTTAAAAGAAGAACCATTGGCTCATTCCATCATCATTTCGAAGTCAACTGCTGTGGTCACAAGCAAAGCATTATATCCTGGTAATTATTCCTTACTCAAAAGTCATAAAGAAGAAATGTTATTTTGTGCTATCGTGTTTTGATTCAAAAAGCATAAAAATACAATTCATATCAATGTTATTCTGTTTTAATTATTAAGAGATTAGATTTTCTTGTAGCTGGCAGAAGTAACTAAATTGTTGTTTGATTGGTTATTATGTTTGAAGTTTATGATTTCAATACAGTAGTCGTTACTGTTTGATTATAACTATATTTTTGCTTTCCGTTGTTATTTTTTGCTTCTAGCAAAACCAGTTTGCTCAATATAATATTTATACAAGTTCGAATGGCTTTATTTGCTTTATTATTTTCAGCTTTGAAAGATATTTTTTCTTCTGGGAAATTAAAAATGATAAAAGTATATGTCATTGGCGACTTAACTATTAATGGTAAAACGAATACTTTGGCATTAGGAAGTAAAATTCAGTCTGCTTCTTCAGATGAACCTACCGTTACAGACAAGCCTACTTTTAAATGTAATTTTTATTTTTCTTAGTTTGCTTTGTTCTGTATCAGCAATTTCACGATTTTACAATTTGAAGCACTGTTTCCATGAATTTCACTAATTAGTATTCGAATCAATGATTTTCGACTTGAAGAAAGTAGTATCAAGAAAATAAATAAAAAGCGGATCATTGATATTTTCTGAATCTCATGTAAATTACTGGTCGTCATCTGACGTATTAAGTTTACCTATTGTTTTATGCTGCTGCATTTTACTTTTGACTTAAGTAGTTGCTGCTTTATAGTTTATGTTTATTTTGTATTTTCAGCACTTCTTTGTTACATTTTTACATCGGGAACAACAGGTAATCCAAAACCAGCTTTGATAAAACACTATAGGTAAGCAATATAAAGTATTAATGAAAAATTTTTAAAGATATAAAAAGCTATTTCTGAGAATTACATCATATTAATACAACTTTAATATAGTTTAAATATTGAAAGTGATGTTTCTTCACTTGATGAAGTACATATAATTAGTTAATCTGAAGCTATGAATACATCTTATATAAGGTACTAATTATGTTTCCAAGGAATTTTTAGATATTATTGGATGGGGATTGGTGTCGCAAAATCTTTTAAAATAAATCCAAATGACCGATTATATGTTATGATGCCGTTATATCACAGCGCAGGAGGTATTCTTGGCATTGGACAAACAATACTGCACGGTAATACGTGTGTTATCAGAAAAAGATTTTCGGCAAGCAATTTCTGGACAGACTGTGTCAAATATAATTGCACTGTTAGCCAGTACATTGGTGAAATATGCAGGTTATTATTTATTCTTTGATAAATGAAAAATATTTGTGGATCATTTGCAAAGAATGGCATGGCAAAATTACTTTCTCTACATAGGCTTTCTGCTAAGATTTTGCTTATTCCGATTTGTTTTCAGATATCTGTTGGCACAAAAAGATGTTCCAGAAGTGAGGTTACACAAGGTACGTTTAATGTTTGGTAACGGTCTAAGATCAGAGATTTGGCAGAAATTTGTAAATCGATTTGGTGTCGAAAAAATCGGTGAATTTTATGGCAGTACAGAAGGCAATTCAAGTTTGGGTATGTGTAATATAATTTTTATTTTATTAAAATGGACAAAAAGATGCCAATTTTTAATATTATTTACGTACGTATTATTCTTAATAAAAATTGCAGTTATGTCATAAAAAGTATTACTGCATTTTTTTTGACTGTTTTTGGCAAATGACAATTTGTTAACTTCTAACATCATTAAAACATTTCGTCAATTTATCAAAAATTAGCGCAACATTTGTTTTTATTGCAGTGAATATAGATAATCATGTTGGATCGTGTGGATTTATTCCGGTGCATTTTTTCGTGAAATATTTATATCCTTTACGTTTACTCAAAGTAAATGATGAAACTGGTGAATTAATTCGTACAAAAAAAGGCTTTTGTGTACCTTGTAAACCTGGTGAAACTGGAGAATTAGTTGGTGCTATTATGCACAACCAACCATTATTGAAGTAATTTGTGTTATCATAAAGTTTATTTTAAGTTTTTTTTTTCATACATATGAGAACTAGTCAAATTTTAACTAGGATTAATAAAATCCTTAATTTGATGGCTCAGGTACCACTTTTTGTCGTTTCTGCTGTTTCATTTATGATTTTTTTTTAAATAAAATTCAATATTTAATTGCTGTAATATATCAAAACCAATGAAATAAATAATGTCACAAAATATAAAAAAATGATTCATATGAAATGCAGAAAATGCAAAAAGGATTTTGAGTATGTAAATATTTGACGATATAACAAATGTTTTTGCAGTTTTGAAGGCTATTTGGATGAGGAAGACACTGGGAAGAAGATAATTAAAAATGTATTATGTAAAGGTGATGCTGTTTTCACATCAGGCGACATTATGCATTGGGATCATTTTGGGTATTTATATTTCAGGGATCGAAAAGGCGATACTTTTAGGTTTTTATTTCAAAGATGCGGTGTTTATTTTTCGACAGAATTTTCATACAAAACGATTTGTATTTCTAGCTAAGCAAATTTTTGTCTTGCTTATTTACATACCTAAAAGTTAAAAAGTATCAAAATGATAATAATTAATTAGTTTCGGAAAGAAAGAAACATAGTAGATATAAATTTCTTTGTGGCTAGTTGGATTAATTTTTACGAGAGAAATGTAGTGAGTTAGAGTTTTGTGTTCAATTACTCAAATGATTTAGTTATTTTTTAGGTGGAAAGGAGAAAATGTAAGTACTTCTGAAGTGGAAGGTATTCTGCAGTTTCTAAAAAGTATAAGTGATGTAGCTGTGTATGGTATCGAAATACCAAGTTAGTCTAATGTTTTGTTACGTCATAATATTACTTTATTATATAACATTATCTTATATTTACATACTTAAATTCATATGTATGTAAGAGATTCTCTAACTTAGTTCAGGGATTACAAAAGCAATAATTATTGTAGATATGAAATATTTTTGCAGATAAAGAAGGTCGTGCTGGTATGGCTGCTATTGTACTTGTAGAAAATAAATCTGTCAAGGTAAGTATTGTTTGTATTTGGTGTATTTATGCAGTGCCTGATGTGAGTTATATAACCAGCACATATTAATAGTTTTTGCAGGATGTGGCATCCGAAATAGCTATGCATGTCAAGAAAAGCCTTCCTTCTTATGCCATCCCTGTATTTTTACGTTTTTGCAAAGATTTCGAACGAACAGGTTTTACTAGCAGTCATCTTATTTTACATCTCTTAAAACTTGAATGTTATTATTGTAATGATTTGATTCGTTTCGAAAAAAAAAGAAACAGAGTGAGTGTAAATTTCTTTGTGACAAATTTTTTTTATCAGAAAAATGTGGTGAGTTAAAGTTATCTATTTTAGGTACATACAAGTTGAAAAAAATCAATCTAAAAAAAGAAGGATATGATTTACGTGTATGTCACGATGAGATTATGATTTGGGATTCTTCTCTAAAATCTTATAAGTAAATTTCTTTTGCTAATATTTGAAGCATAATTTCTCAGTTGATTGAATGAAATTACACTATCTATCTTAATTTGAACTTGGGCTGCTGTTCAAGAGATTAAAGACTTTTCCTCAAGCGTAGTAGTATGATATGTGTCATTGTTCAAGTAATAGCATTTATAGTTACAACTTTTTTTGCAGATTGTTCAATGATGTACTGCAGCAACAGTTAGAAGATGGTACTTACACCAAGATCTGATTCAGTATTCTTGTCATCAGAGTAATTATTTTTAACTTCTATAAAAATTTTCGCCAAGTATTGTCAAGTGCCACATTGTCCATGTTCATTAAACGATGCTCACGATTCTGTCGATTTAGTCATTTGTTGTGTGATGCTTTTTTCTTATTACTTTTTCCTATTTTAAATGTATTGTTTTTATCTGCTTATTATAATTATTAAAAGAATTCTAATTGATGTGTAATATCACTCTGATAGTTGCAGTGATCAAAAAGATCCTTAACTTGTTTGATTCAGATTTTTTGTACGTGGAATTGTGACTTTTTGTAAGGGGTGAGAAATTTGTTACGTATGATGTATAAACTTTAATGATTTTTTAATTTCGAAGATAGAAAATACTGATAAGGTGTAACATTCGGTGATTTGTTAATTGTTATAATTTTCTTCATATTTTTTTAGTAACAATATTAGTTTATTATATATATCCATCCATATGCTTTTTTCCCAGAGAATAGGTTATGTGCGCTTGTGTGTAATCATATTTGCCATATTTTATATTTTGTGATATGATTGTGCAGCACCTAGTATTTATTAAATAAACCGGTATTAATCTGCATATTAATTATAATTCCAAAAGGATTAATATTTAGTATGTTTTGTACTATTCGTGCTTAAAACTGATGATTTGCTGCTGTGTGTTTTGTTACTAATCTCTGTCTTGTATTGTAGTCAGAAAATATTTGTAGAAAGCTTAGATCTGACAGCTGGAAAGTTAATAAAAGCATAATGTGATTAGTATAATTTGTAGATTAATTAAAGTTCTCTTTGAAGTATATTCTATTTCTCGAAATTTATCTGTATTATTGAAGAATGTACAGATTTTCATTTGAAGTATTTGGAACTTTTCGTTTCAGTAAGTGCTAGCGTCTAAAAAAATTTTTCTCATAACTCATTCAACAGTAGTGAATAAAAATTTATCATTGTAATAATTGAACTTTCAAAAAAGAAAGTAAAGAAGTAGAGAATTGGATTGATAGTCCAATGATCGAGGTTATTACTTTGTCCTGTTTTGTTTTCTTCGAATGCAAGTCTTTTTTTTTTGTAATTCCATGTACTCATCACAAGGTCATGATTGAATTTGACTGTAAAACTGTTGTTGAATTATTAATAAGTCATTCACTAAGTTGATGCGCGCTGTGAAACGAGTTAAGATGAGTGAAGGAATTAAGAGTATGAAAAAATATTGTACTGAAGAACAGCATTATCGTTACCGTACTTGTGCGCTCATTAATCATTTGAAATTGAATTTTAATAAGTGAAGTATGCTTTTATTCAAGTATACTACACAATATTACTTCCTGACAGTAGTATTTGGTGAAAAGTGAAAAAAGCAATCGTGTTTTTTTCACTTTTCACCAAATACTGTTTGTTTTTTATTACTGATAAAAAACGGTTAGAATGCAGCAGCAGTGATGAATTGTTTGTGAAATTACCATAAAAATACTAGAAAAAAGCAGTTATTGAACAAATGGAATTTGTTTTTATGTAGATCATAATGAATGGATTAAGTGCATCATAATTAAATACTTAATTTGTTGATATTTGATATTTTGAGATTAAACATTCATTTATTTCAAATATTATTGATTGCAAAACTTAATCATAAATTCTGTTTATGATTTTAGACTAATTCTAGAAGAATGTTTGGTTTTTAGGTTTTTTTATATCCCCAGTTGGTACTGGAAATTCTAAAAATATGTCTTAAAAACAATATTATAAAAAACAGTCATTCTTTGAAGTTTTTGTTAATAAATTTATAAAAAACTGAGTTATTCTTTAATTGTAATTCTTTTTGCTTTTTCACTGTAGCAATCTAAGTGACAAAAATTAATTGAAAATGAACTGATGTAATTAATCCATTCATTATGATCTGTTGTTACAGTACAACGAAACAGTTGACATATTTTGTTTTGGTTTTGATCTCTTGACAAGTTTGACAA